AAATTCAATGAACTAAACGTCACTTCACTTTCTTCATCGCCGGTAACTGTGATGTCATCTGATCTCCACTTATTGTCATTCAAATCGTGAGCCAATTGAGAGGACATGTCATACAATGGCCACTAATTGGCACTAATTGTCACAATTAATACTTCACTAATACTTCAAAGTTTGACAACATTTCACTTCAAATCGACAAAACCTAATAATCATTGCATTCGTATATAACGTTACAATTCTTAAAGGCGAACATTATATGCATTATATGCCCCCCTATTAGGCCTTAATTGTGTTAAATAGTGTTAAACTGTATTGTGATCCTTAAAATTGAATTATTTCAACATTTTTGCAACCATTTGTGTTAATACTATTGATTTGCCATTATTGACAACATTGTAATTATATTAGACAGAGTTATGTGACGCTAATTGTCAACAATTCAAGTCATCAAATGGTCATCTGGTCATCAGTGGTAAAGGATTGAACATTGAAATCATAAGCATTTATAGTTTCGATATAGTTTTAATGGTTCAAAAGTACGATAAATGTAATCATTAGAATATAGTGCTGGCATTCGGTGGTCAAGTGATCATCAGTTCTCAAGAAAGGCCACATATTCGGTGAGTTTCGCCAACTGTTCTTCACTGGAAGACAACTCTTCGACACAATGAGTTGGTTTTGATGGCTTCACGAGACGGCAATCCATGTCTAAACTCCAACCGACACTTTCAATACTTTCGATGGCCTTCTCCTCAGTTAATCCGATGTAATGAATCACTTCATCCAAACTGATTGATGTGAAGCCCTTTGAGATGAGATTCATTGCTCTCTTGCGAGTGGTATCTAAAGAGACAATGAGTTGTCATGTGATGTCAAACATGTCATTGTGTGTAGACATAGATCACCTGCAATACACTTCATGACATTCTTGAGATGGTTTGGCCACTCGTATGTCGACAATAGTGGATAAATTGCAGCCAAATCTCGGTTCCAGAGCTTGACTCCAATGTCCCAAATATGAGACAATTCGTGGTTCTCTGTCTTCACACTCATTGGTATCCTTTTCCACAAGAGTTTGGCATTTGGTCTATGCGTTGAGCAAAACATGTAAAACATGTGTTGAGAGCTATCATACAATTGTATGACAAGACTAACAAAGACTTACAAATCGTTTAAAAGCAGATAAATAGCCAGAAGTTGTCCATAGATTTGTGGCGAAGCGATGCCTCCAATGGACTGCAACTCTTGTCGCTCCAGATCTGTGGCCAAAGCAGAGTAATCGGGAGTTAAGTCCATCACAACTCTCAACCTATCACTCAAATTGAGTCTCAATACACACAATACTGACAGTCAATACAGTATTCATTCAATACTATTGAATACACTCTTCAATACGGTTGAAAAGATTCCCGGAATGTAATATATATCCCCAATTGGGAATATTCCCGGAACGTTACCATCCAAAATGCTCACTCACCAGATGGCGTAAGTAGTAAAGTGTGGCGACCCCCAATTTTACCCCCAATTCGCCCCCAACTTTCCCAGGGAATATTCCCAGAAATATATATTCCCAATTTTCCCAGGAAATATTTCTAGAAATATTCCTTTGGGAACAATTCCTAGTATAAATTTTCAACCCTACTCTTCAACACAACTTCAATATATCCATAAATAACGAGTCAATTGTCAAACAGTGTAACCATTATTCAAATAACAGGCTATTTATAAATACAGTAGTATTTTGTAAACCTTTAAATGAATAGTTGACGTAATTTATAACTCATATGATTATAAAGTTTGCTTTCATTTGAATTGAATATAATTTATGACAACAAAAGGATTGACAATAAGTTTGTCGACAATTAATAGTCAAGTCTTGTATTAATCGCTGAAATGATGGGTAAATAGATGTGAAGGCAATGATTGAAGCGATGAGTAATGAATGGTTTGTCACAAACAGATCATAAGTCAGAAAATGATGAAAACGATACAAATGGCGAGGAAGAGGACGAAGACATGTCCACCAATGGAGACACACAACACATCTCAGACAACAGTGACAATCAGTCGATGGCTGTGTCACACGTGGGCCGCAAACCACTCCATGGGATGCCCTGTAGTCTCAAGACATTAGTCAACGACAACATACTTGAACCCAAAGACGGCTCCCTTTCTATTGAATACATGGTATGAATGAAGTGATGAACAATTGATTGAATTGACAATAATTGTAATTCATTGATGATGTGATGAAAGGGCGCAAAGTTTATGGCAGACCTGTTGCCCAACGGATCCATACGATTACAGGAGACAAAGCAGGTGTTTGTGAGTCCGTCTTCGTGGGTGAATCACTGCCGAAAGCTGGTCAGCGGTGACGCCAAACTCGGCAGCGCGTGGTCTACCATCAGATACGACGGCAAACGATTGGATTCTTACAAACTTCGGTGGTATCGGAAGCAGAAGAAAATGATCGCTAATAAAGACTCGGACGCGACGGCCAGTCAATCGTCGAGTAAGAGTGCGAACCATTTGAACGAACCGCTAGACATCGAGAGGTATGCAAACAAGACAATCAAAGACGTGAATGTTGTCGACCATCAACTTCTGGGCAGTCGATCGGATGGGCGGCCAATGAATGTGTTGGTTAAGTGCCAGCCTTTCGCTGCTTTAGACCGCATCCAACCCTTCACTATCACAATATCGACAAATGCTTTACTACTCATTGACTTTCATTGTCATCTGACAAACACCGAAGTCGTCGGCTATTTGGCCGGCAATTGGGACGTCGGCGCCCATAATGTAGCTATTCTTCAGGCCTTTCCCTGCAGAAGCAAACTCACCGACAGAGACAACGCAGCGCTCGTCGAGGAGGAGATCAAACAAGCCATGGAGAGAAGGAACTTACATCTCATTGGTTGGTACCACAGGTAACGCATATTGTACTTCAGCCAACATTGTTTGCATGTATTGATTACACTTTATTATGAATATGCTTTAAACCCAAAATAGTCACCCGAAAGCTGTTCCGCAACCAACCATTAAAGACATTGAGAGCCAAATGGAATATCAGATCGCAATGAAAGGAGAGAGCGATTCTTCTTATACGCCATGCGTTGGACTTATTTGTGCGCCTTTTTATGAGTTCAATGACGGCCTGTCGGCCACATTCCAGGTGTATTGGGTGATGCCTCCACCCGAATACAGGCCTCACGAATACGGCAAACCTATGCAAATGACTTATACCGTATCCAGAGATTCCTTCCTTACTCAAGACTTACTCCTGGAAATGGTATATATTTGATATGTTTCCGAATCATTCATTTACTAATAATGATATGTCATTTGAAGCGACTTTTGGCCCATTTTTACGCCATTTCCAACGATTTCGTTCAATTCGACAAAGATTTCAAGAATAAGCAAACTTTTTGGCAAAAACTTCAGGTTTCGCTTAAGTCTAAACTTCCACGAGATTTGCTCGATATAGAGGGACAGCCGACATCTCAAACACAAGTACAACAGCAAGCATTGTCTCACTTCTGGGCGTTTATAAAGGGACTGTTAATGCCTTAATGCCTGACCACAAGGTTTCACTTATATAATGATTACTTAATTCTCATGAGAACATTGACAGTACTTTGCATTTATTATCAATTCATTAGAATCTCATTATATTTACTTTATTGTAATTGTCATTAATTGTATTCATTTGTCATTAAATTATTTTGCATCATATAATTAACAAATAATAATTGTAACGTTTTATGTGTTCACATAAAAAGGCTGTGGATTTAAAGTTGACAATAATTTATATTAATTAACTGAAAATGTTTGATAAATTATAAAATCCGGTGCTTTTATTAAATTCATTTGTAAAATATCTTAAATTTACTTTTTATTAAAAGCAATCATTTTATAATACAATCGATTTACTTTATAAATAATTCATTTGGTGTTAAATCTATACTAAATTATATTAAAGCACTGATCAAAAAGATAATAAATATATACAAATTGTGTGTATGTCTTAATGTCTTATACCGTAATCATTACTATATGATAGCAATATGAATACAGTGTGTATTGTAACCAACAATCCAAACAATATTCTCATCCAAAAGGTCTACAATATTTGCTCATATATACTATTATTTAGTATTAATTACAATATGGATATAAATGCAATGCAATCATTATTCTCAAATGTATCAGGGTAGAAAGACCGGCAGAGAGGGGGAGGGAAGATTGTGAGGTATAACAGTGGGTGAAAGTGCAACCTTAGAGTCAAACTCCATTCACATTTTGGACACAAAATTAATTTAATTCACTAAATATAAGAAATAATTAAAAATTTGTTTTACAAAACAATTGTATAAACGAAGTGATAAATAGAATGTAAAAATGCTATTAAAAGTGCATTAATTTAATTAAATCTCATTTAATTATAATTAGTGGGAAAAGTCCCAAAAGGAACATAAATTACGTCATAATCTGTTTTGAAATCATGAATACAATGATTGGCGTAATCTATGTTTGGCAGGCAATCAGAGGGAGTATTGCAAAGTTCCCGAACTGCAGGTATACCTCCAGACTTTGAACCCAATCTTGTAATACCCCCTCAATTTTAAGAGACAATACAGTAGACTTCAGATATAGTGAACCATTCGTTAAAATTTATGATATTCTTCGTACATAATATCGAGGGTTTACTATAAAAGGAGTTAATAAAGTAGAATAGAGTAGAAGTGGCCATCAAATTGAAATTTTTAC